TGGTTATATGCTTTGCGACTATAACGATCGAGGAATAGCAGATGTAGGTCGTAAATTTGTGATGGTATTGTATGACATCGTGTACGACCACGTGAGAAAAAGAAATGTCATCAACAGACCCATATGTTTAAATGCATTGTAATATGTTGTGAGTGGTTTGAAATATATATATATATATATATATATATATATATATATATATATATATATATATATATTCGATCTTGCTAACCGAACGCTCCTCTATGGCCAAATCGGTTAAAGGCACGTCAAGCTAAATGACGGTTCCGTATAGGATACAGGTTCGGAGCACGAATATTTTCTGTGAAAATTTCTCGGACATTCAGGCCGGTAAATGTTGTTTAATACTGTTTATTATAAACAGAGAATTTACTTAAATATTTGTATTTATAAAAAGAATGTATAAACATTAAAATGTCTTGATATGTATATATATCTTTCTAAATAAATAATGTATTTTTATTTATTAATCCGACATATTTTTATCACTTTAATTGTTATTTTTAATAGACACCCATATTTGATTAGACGTTTCGTTTATTTTAGACAGGTTCGAATTATATATATGTAAATTTCTTTAATGAGATTTTCTCGAATATTCAAACCATTAAACGAAATAAAATACTTCTAAAAATTAACAGGGGCCGGAGCAGTCATAATGTATCTACAAAAGATAGGTATGACACCCCAAAAATCCATGAGGACATGGCACTTGCTGAGGACTCCCCTTCCTATGCAGCTGTGAAGAAGTAGGGTACGGAATTCAAGTAGGGGACAAGGACAGCAAAGAAGTTAACCCTCGATCAGGTCATCCGAAAGCCTCAACCACTGATGAACAAGTTGATGCCATTCACCGTATGGGTATGGATGACAGACGACTTATTGTCTAGCCGATATCTGGTTCTGGTTCGATCCATAATTTTTAACTGAGATCATGAGGATGAGCAAGCTGTCTGCAAGATGGGTTCCAAGAAAGCTGGCACCAGACCGGAAGCTGAATAATGTTGACATTTCAACAACATTTATGACTCGCTTCCAGGCCGACCCTGAGAATTTCTACGGCAGATTAATAATTCAAGATGAAATCTGGGTTCATCACTTCGAACCTGAATCAAAGACTTAAAGCAAACAGCAGAAAGACTTTTGTTCTCCACCAACGAAGAAGTTCAAGCAAACAGTGTCTGTTGTCAAGCTCATAGCTTCCCGTTTGACGGATTCTGACGGCGTAATCTTGATAGACTACCTGGAAATAGGGGAAAACTATTAATCTACAGTAATATGCATTTAAAGTATTAAAACTGAAGGAAGACATCAAGTCGAAACGCAGATAGAAACTGAAGATAGATGTGCTCTAGCTTCAGGATAACGCTTCAATTCACACTGCTCAGGTTTCAGTAGCTTAATCAGCCAACCGTGACTTTGAATTATTACCCCCTCCCTCTTATTCACCAGATTTAGCTCCAGCTGACTTCTTCCTGTTTCCTAAATTCAAATCCCACCTTCGTGGTCGCCATTTTGGAAAAAATGATTCGATCATACCTACTGTAGAGGAGACTTTGGAGGACCAGGAGGCAACCTTCTTTCGTGGTGGGTTTGCAACGTTTCAGCATCGTTCGACCAAGTATATTGATGTCAATGGGGACTATATTAAAACAAATAGTGAAAAACTTTCTTCGTCTTTTTCTAACTTCTTTTGGATGTGGCTTAAAACCTTTTGAACGACCCTCGTATATAGCATCATTGCTATATATGGAATGGAAATCAAACTGGGTCGTGAGGAGCTGACTTTCATAAAACAACGAGATCCTAGCTAATATAATGTTCATTTGTACTTTCACCGTTATGGAACCAGATGAGATACCTTTGTATGCGAGAGGGTTTTGAGGGCTAACTTTCTGTCGCCATAATGCGTGATAAAATCCACATTTGGGGATGCATTTCTGATTCTAAACTTCTTTCATCAAATAAAAAAAACCTTGTTGCTGAATTAAAGGAGAAAGTCAGCTATAAGTGATGATTTATAATTCCTTAGTTTTTTTTTAATAGCTTTCTTAATTTCCTCATCAGTAAGTTCTTTATTGTTTATGTTTGGAGACAGACTTTGTAATGAATGAATGAATATTGGTATATATTCCATTTCTGTGGGCATCTTAAGTTTAGTGTGGTCAGGGTTGAAATGTGTTTTGTTGAGACCAGGACATTTCTTCTGTGGACGTTTTGATTGTATGATATTATTGTGATTTTTCATTTTCCCCACATTTTAAAATATTGTCTATGCTTTTGGCTTCATTAATTTAATTCCCAATTTTCTGGAGATATTTTCAAAAGTTCAGCTTCAATGTCGATTGATACTTTATTATTCCTTAATTTTGTTTTAAATAGTTTTCTTAATTTCCTCACCAGTAAATTCATTATTGTTTATGTTTGGGGCTTGACTTTGTAATGAATGAAGGAATATTGGTATATATTCCATTTCTGTGAGCATCTTACGCTTAGTGTGGTCAGGGTTGAAATGTGTTTCTTTCTTTCGCTTTCTGTCTTTGTTACAACTTCTCTTTGTCTCTCTCTTTCTTACATCTTGCGTCTTTCTTTCTTACTTTCTTTATTACACATCCTTCCTCTTGTTTATCTTTCTTCTTTCATATATTTATTATAGTTTTTCCCTCTCTTTTTTATTTGTTTATTTATTTCTTCATTTATTACAGCTTTCCCGCTCTCCTTTTTTTCTTTCTTTCAGCTTCTCCCGTCTTTCTTTCTTGCAGCTTTTCTCGCTCTCTCTTTCTTACATCTCATTGCATCATGCTTTCTTTCTTTCTTTCTTTCTTTCTTTCTTTCAGTCCTTCTTTCAGTTTCTCCCGTCTTTCTTTCTTGCAGCTTCTCTCTCACTTTTACATCACCTCGCATCTTTCTTTCTTTCTTTCTTTCTTTCTTTCTTTCTTTCTTTCTTTCTTTCTTTCAATTTCTCCCGTCTTACTTTCTTACAGCTTCTCTCTCTCTTTTACATCACCTCGCATCTTTCTTTCTTTCTTTCTTTCTTTCTTTCTTTCTTTCTTTCTTTCAGTTTCTCCCGTCTTTCTTTCTTGCAGCTTCTCTCTCTCTTTTACATCTCCTCGCATCTTTCTTTCTTTCTTTCTTTCTTTCTTTCTTTCTTTCTTTCTTTCTTTCAGTTTCTCCCGTCTTTCTTTCTTGCAGCTTCTCTCTCTCTTTTACATCTCCTCGCATCTTTCTTTCTTTCTGTCTTTCTTTCTTTCTTTCTGTCTTTCTTTCTTTCTTTCTTTCTTTCTTTCAGTTTCTCCCGTCTTTCTTTCTTGCAGCTTCTTTCTTTCTTTCTTTCTTTCTTTCTTTCTTTCTTTCTTTCTTTCTTTCTTTCAGTTTCTCCCGTCTTTCTTTCTTGCAGCTTCTCTCTTTCTTTCTTTCTTTCTTTCTTTCTTTCTTTCTTTCTTTCTTTCAGTTTCTCCCGTCTTTCTTTCTTGCTTCTTCTCTCTCTTTCTTTCTTTCTTTCTTTCTTTCTTTCTTTCTTTCTTTCTTTCTTTCTTTCAGTTTCTCCTGTCTTTCTTTCTTGCAGCTTCTCTCTCTCTCTCTTTTACATCACCTCGCATCTTAATTTCTTTCTTTCTTTCTTTTTCTTCATTCCATTCCTTCACCCCTTTCTCTTTCCATCAATTAGTTATTTCTTTCTTTCATATATCCTTTTTTCTTCCTTTATGACGTCAGACAAAAGGTAAGCATTGATCCTGTATAAAGTTGCAAGGCCTATTGAAAGCAAATGAACCTCTGGGGTAACGAGCTTGAGCGATCGGAGAGCAGAGCAGGGACAAAGAGGGATGGAAAATAGATTATTTTATTGGTTCATATGTTTTTTACGGCTTATCAACCCTTGGCAGGTTATTTAAAGCCAGAAAATATTTTTGTAAGAATTTTTGTGGCGGAGGGAGATAATAATGGCTTAGCGATACAAGTCTTACTAACTAACACATAGCATGGAAGAGATGAAGTTGATTCAAATATTTGCCAAGGATATAAGCGTCTAACTCAATATAACGAAACCATCGGGAATTGGAAATCGGCTTCCAGATTAACAATTCCGAACCATTATCTATTACACCACCCGCACATACAAGATTACAGTACCTGGTATTCCGTTGTTTAACCTCAGTGACCATACGTGAATTGGTGTTTCAACGTGATGTGGTCGTAAGCAATGCATCGAAGAGCAACAAAAAATAGGAAGTTGTGCAGAGCTATGATCGCCCACGTCCTGAAAAATGATGAAAGATAAAACAAGAAGTATTACAGCAATATCTGATTCACTTCAGTCAGCTCTTTAAGAAATTAATCTTTTATCTTTAATCTGTGTTCGATATGCTGTACGGAAACGGTTCAAATCAAATCTGCGGGGGTCGCCAGTGTCCGTGAGGGAAAAAAAAGATTTTATCAGAATTCACTTGCCACGGTTTCTGATTATTCATAAATCCGCTTTTCCCAGAAACTTTATCCAGTGGATTAATAATTCTTGATGTGATTCAGTTGATAACCCAGCCTCTTTGTCGTGTGGTATTGCCAGGAGAAATTGGATGACATTCGACCATCGTGTACTGCCGAATGATTAGAATTAGAAGTCATTTCAGACAAAGATTTAGTTTGTTTCAACTTCGGAGTGAAATCGTGTTAAAATTTGGGCGATGAAAATATTTGTTTGATCAATGGGAATTTGACGTGATTCGCAGGTGTGCGTTGATTGAAGACCGCTGCTTTTAACGATTAAACTGGAAGATTGAGAATAATTAATTTGGGGACATGATGCTATAAAGGAAGAAGAAAAGGGATAAATGAAAGAAGAAGAAAAAAAGAATTGAATGATGGAAAGAGAAATAGGGAGAATGGATTTTAAAGAAAGGAAGAACTGAGGGAGAAGCTTTAAGAGAGAAAGAAGAGACCTGTGAGAAGGAAAGTGACAAAGAAAAAGAAATGGAGTAGCTTTAAGAAAGAAAGAAAGAAAGAAAGAAAGAAAGAAAGAAGAGAGGAAGAAGATGAAAGAAAGAGCTGTAAGAAAGAAAGAAAGAAAGAAGAGTGGAAGAAGACGAAAGAAAGAAAGAAAGAAAGAAAGAAAGAAAGAAAGAAAGAAAGAAAAGGAGAAAGGGAGGAGCTTTACGAAAGAAAGAAAAAAGTGTGAAAGAAGAGTAGAAGAAGAAGAAAGAAAGAAAAAAGACGCAAATAGGATAGACATTTAATGTGAAAGAAAGAAAAAGAAAGAAAGAAAGAAAGAAAGAAAGAAAGAAAGGGAAGCTGTAAGAAAAAAGTGAAAAACTTTAAGAATTACTGAAAGATAATTGGAACTCGGCTCCCCGATTAACGAATCCGAGCTATTGCCAATTATAGCACCCTCATATCCAAGCTTACAGCACCTGGTATGGCCAAGTAGTCACCCATCTAGGTACTGGCTAAATTGAACGTTACTTAACTTCGGTGATATTATAGGAACCAGTTTTCAACGTGATATATCCGTAAGTTTTCTAAGAGCTGATCGAAGTAAATATTTGTCGACTCATAAAGAAAACTGGTAAAAAATATTTAAACCAGACCTATACAAAATACGATCCGCAGGTTGAACAATACTATTCGCTGTAGCCTGAGATATTTTTTCAAAATATTCATTTTTTTTGTGCTCATCAGAATAAATTCTGCAACTGATCGTATATAAAATATTCAGTTTTGTGAAAGTCTCACTTTATTCAGCCATTAATTCACTAATTTTGCATATAATTAATCCTTTTAGCCTTCGTAGACGAAAAAATTTTTTATCGTCATCCATCTCGCTTTACATCTGCTTCTTTCTAAATTATACTCAATTTTCTTCTTCCTCTTCTATATGTCGTGTTCCTTCAGGACGTTGGAAAACATGGACCTCCACTGTTTCCTGTTCTTTTTAGCTACTAATAAATTTTGTCATGCCATGCATTTACTCAAGCTCGCTAGGTAGATTGTGCATTGTTTTCCTCAGTCCTTCTGTCCTGTGAGTATCAAATTTTCCAAGTCCTCTTTCCTCATTATGTGCCTTAGATTTTCCAACTGTCTTTTCCTGATCACTTTTGTTTCTATTTTCTCAAAACTTCGTCGTTGCTCACATGTTCAATCCATGGTATTCAGAGCATTTTCCAATTTTGCTTCTTCATATTTCTTCTTGATCTACTTTAATAAATTTACTCTTGCTGACGCTGTTAATTATCGATGCGTCCTTTCCACAATTTTTTAATTGTGCATATCCGATTTAGACTATTAGTAGATTAGGAACAAGTTGAAGCTTAAATTGATATGTGCTTTAGTTGTATTAAAAAAGTCTGGAGATATGAGGAAAAATGTTAAAAGATCTTGAATTGGAAACGGGAGACCGTTTGTCCTTTGTTTAGTTCTAATAAGAGCCACAGTGAAGTAATGGATAGCGGCTCGGATTGAGGAATCGGACAGCCGAGTTCGAATTCCAGTCGAATTCATTACCTTGACTTACGTGCTCATACCCTCTTCTTCCGCACCCTCCTGCTCCAGTTATGGGTAAATAGCAGGACAGACTGGGTTCTATAGCCTCGGATGGCAACTGATCTACCGCAGAAAGAAATGTCAACCTACTGCGGGAAAAAATATCTGCCTTGTCAGATATGTATCTTTCGATATATGATCGCCTAAGCGTGTGTCACGCATGGCACATGACTGATTGAATTTCACTTACGTGCAAATACCCTTGGGAAAGGTATGAATCCACTTCTCCCCACGCCCAGCTATGGGTAAATAGCAGGACCGACTGTGTACTATAGCCTTGGATGGCAACTGGTCTACCGCAGAAAGAAATGGCAACATACTGCAGTAAAAAATCTGTCTTGACAGTCATGTATCGAAAGATACATGATCGCCTAAGCGTGTATTTGACTTTTTTTTTTAATCAAACTGTGAAGCTCCTTTGTTGTACATGGGCCTTCCCCAGATCATGCCGGTCCCATGCGTGTTGTTAGGGGCGGGCGTGACACGCTTGGACGATCGTGTCTCATTTCGATTCACGATCGCCCAACGTTTTTGCGCGTAAGTGAATGCACCGAAGCCGACTGGGATTCGGAGTCCGCTCTCCGATTCCTCATTCCGAGCCGTTATCCGTTACACCACCGACACATCCATGGCATTTCTAAGCGGTTACCCATCTAGGTACAGACCAGGCTTGACGGTGCTTATCTTCGGTGATCGGACCAAAAGCGATGTTTCAATCGAATATAGCCGTAAGTCTTACCCTCAGGTAGAGGTCCATAAACGACGTTTTTTCCAAATTAGGAAAATACACCGAATCCGTAGCTGAAAACTGAAACAATCTACTTCTTTCTCGGATGAGTTGTCTGAGATTATGTGATTGTCAAGCAGCAGTGACCCTATCTTTAATTTTCAGGTAACACTGAATAAGTTACGAGACTCGTTAAGACTAGGAAGTTTGATAGAAGTGGTGTTACAAATAAAATAGGTTTTAAAAGATGCAAGAAAAGGTGAAAGATTTGGCGCAAGAGTATTTAGAAATTCAGCTGGTGAAGACTAGGAAGTTTGATAGAAGTGGTTTTACAAACAAAACAGAAATTCAGCTGGTGAATATTTATAATTCTCTTATAAAGAAAGGCTTTGTGTATTTGTGGAGCTGGGTGAAATTCGTGTATGTTCCTGCGAATAACCTTTTGTAAATTCGCATCAGACTAAATTTTGTCTTTGTACCCCTTCCTTACAACAAAAAAACAAAAGAGCCCAATCAATACCATATGAAATATTTTTTATCAATCATTTGTGCATACATATATATATATATATATATATATATATATATATATATATATATATATATATAAGGAAATATGCCAATACCCTCTTCTTCCGTACCCCCCTGCTCCAGTTATGGGTAAATAGCAGGACAGATTGGGTTCTATAGCCTCGGATGGCAACTGATCTACCACAGAAAGAAATGTCAACCTATTGCTGGAAAAAAAAATCTGCCTCGTCAGTCATGTATCTTTCGATACATGATCGCCTAAGCGTGTGTCACGCATGGCACATAACAGATTGAATTTCACTTACGTGCTAATACCCTTGGGAAAGGTATGAATACTCTTCTCCCCCACCCCCAGCTATGAGTAAATAGCAGGACCGACTGGGTACTATAGCCTTGGATGGCAACTGCACAGAAAGAAATGGCAACATACTGCGGTAAAAATTCTGTCTTGTCAGTCATGTATTGAAAGATACATGATCGCCTAATCGTGTATAAATAGTTTTCCTTATATAGAAATATATATATATATATATATATATATAATTTTATATATAATTTTTCTTTATATATGTATATATATATATATATATATAAAATAATTTTCCTCATATATATATATATATAATTTTATATATATTATATATAATTTTTCATATATATATATATATATATATATATAATTTTCATATATATATATATATATATATATATATATATAATTTTATATATATTATATACAATTTTTCCTTTTATATATATATATATAAATTATTTTCCTTATATATATATATATATATATATATTTTTATATATTATATATAATTTTTTCCTTATATATATATATATATATATAATTTTCCTTGTATATATATATATATATATAATTTTATATATATATATATATTTTATATATATTATATATAATTTTTCTTTTATATATATATATATATGTAAATTATTTTCCTTATATATATATATATATATATAATTTTATATATATTATATATAATTTTTCCTTATATATATATATATATATATAAATAATTTTCCTTGTATATATATATATATATATATATATATATATAAAAAAAACTTATTTTTAATCATGTCACCCCATGCAACAAATGCACATGTGGTCACAGAGTGTGAAAGAATAAGAAAAAAGAGAAACATTATTAAAGAGTGAGAACAATAAAAGAGTAATCTCGAAGACCGTAGATAACGATTGACATTACATTTAATTTTTTGAAGATCTAAGTTGGCTGGAAAGCATGGAGACGAAAGAGAGTTCCACTAGCGAGAAGTGCAAGAAAAGAAACTGTTAGCCTCGAACTTACGGTTACATAATAAGAAAATTAATTTTAAGCATACATATTTTTGTGATGTACAGTGGGCATTAATAATTATGTATAATTCAAGACTTCAATGTTAAAATAAAACAATATTTAATTACAACCACAAATAAATACTTAACAAGAACAAAGAAGTAAAAGTCAACCATAGATAATTAACCATTCCGGTGAATGCCTTTTTAGTAACGCGGATCGGTTTAACGTCGGATAAATCCTAAATCAAAATCGAAATCATCGACGCACAATAATTCACTCTAATTCGACTGGATAGTTCCACTCAATAGTCACTCAATAATAACTCCAGTCAGTAGCCTGGCATCGCTATTTATGCACCTGGCGGGAAACCTATATTAATAAGTCCAGAATGTCACGCTATAACCTCGGTGTCTGTAGTCATTCGTTTTTTTCCTATATGACATATATATATATATATATATATATATATATATAAAAAAGAAAGTGGTTATATTGGTTCCAACGAGAGAAAACTGTGTATATTAAAAAGAAGAGAAGAGAGGTGCCGCAAACGTAATGTGGAATCTTTTTTTTTAATATTATGCTTTATTTTCCATAATTTTACTACACGTGTTTCTGGTCTCGCGACCGTCTTCAGGTAAAACGCGGAGATTTCCACATATTATTAAAAATAATTATTTTTTTCCTTATGTTTTTCAATGTTAAATATTCTCGATATGAGACATTCTCTGTTTTTGTATTAGTAATCTGAATGTCTTTCCTGATATATATATATATATATATATATATATATATATATATATATATATATATCAGGGAAAATAATATCAAACATATATATATATTGGGGAAATTAAAGACATAGTAAAGTGAAATAACTTTTTTTCGTATTTTTTTTTTGTAAGTCATTTCGTTTAGGACATATCGCGATGTTTTTGATTAATGTAATTATAGTCCAATGATTTACTAAAGGACGAAATGCCTCAGATAAAAAAAAAATTCTCACTTGATTTTCTTACTATTGTTATATAAATATTTATATATCATCTTGTTACACACACATAAAATGCATATACCCATATATATATATATATATATATATAGTGAGAGACAACCATATATATATATATATATATATATATATATATGAGAGATACATCGCAACG